AATTAGAACCTAATAAAACCTCTTAGTACCTTATTTTTTTTTTTACTTTTTAATACTAAATCATCAAAAACTTGACTGCTTTCGTTCATAACATTGCATGTTATTAATGACGAGATTAAAATCAAAAAGTTTCAAGAATGCAGTTTGTTTCTTTTGTTTGTTTTATGTTTATTTTATACAAAAGTTATGTCTTTTATTTATCGATTGAGGCACTTTTAGACACTTTAGACAAGTTTGCCGGGTCAGCTAGTAAAACAATAAAATTGTGTGGGTATTCAACTTATTAGGTATAATTATTTATGATAAAAAAAAAACAATTTTTCAAAATTCCATTCGGCCTAATGATCAACATTTACGTAGACATCTTCAGAATTGTCTTTATTTTGTTAAACAAACACACTCTTCTTACGCACGACTTCATAGAATAACCTAGCTGAAGCAGAAAGGAGAGGCGTTTTTATTATTTAATAATAAAATAACTATGTTTCTAATTAACGGGGCTTGTACAATTTCAACACGATGACAGAGATAATACAAGTGGATATAAGAATTGCTATTATCTATTTCACGACATATTTTGTTTTCATTTACCATGTAATTCAGGTTTCATAATGAAGCTAAGTGAATTTGTGTCCCGTTAAAATATACCCAACGGCTTTTAGTTAGTATTCCATTTTGGGAAACTATAAATAAGGGAAATGTTAGTAATTATTTAAAGCTATATTTAACTTTTTGAGTCGATGAGTGATGTGCGCTCATCTTGAAAGGAGATCAGAAATTATTTTAATTTGACCAGTGTATAAAATATAATAGTTACACGTTGTTTTGTGTTATCATGTAATTCAGCTTTCATAATGAGACTAAGTGAATTTGTGTCCCGTTGAAATATACCCAACGGCTTTTAGTTAGTATTCCATTTTGGGAAACTTTAAATAAGAGAAATGTTAATAATTATTTAAAGTCATATTGAATTTCTTGGGTTGATGAGTGATGTGTGCTCATCTAAAGCCAGATTAGAAATTATTGTAATTTGATCAGTGTATAAAATATAATAGTTACACGTTGTTTTGTTTTATCATGTAATTCAGTTTTCATAATGAGGCTAAGTGATTTTGTGTCCCGTTGAAATATACCCAACGGCTTTTAGTCGGGATTCCATTTTGGGAAACTTTAAAATAAGGGAAATGTTAATAATTATTTAAAGTCATATTGAATTTCTTGGTTTGATGAGTGATGTGCGCTCATCTCGAAGCGAGATTAAAAAATATTTTAATTTAACCACTAAATAAAAAAGTTACACTTCCATTTAAAAGTGAATAATACGAAATTTGCAAAATTAACATTTTATATATATATTCAAGGAAATAATAGAAATAAGGTTTTTAAGTTTGATTCAAAAACAAAGCAGAGTTTTGTAATACTGGCACGCAGTAAAATATTTACGAGTATATTCACTTAAATAAACAACTGAACCAGTTCTCCTACGTCATCCTTTCCATTGAGGTGCCAACAAGTCTAGTCAAGCTTTGTGTACGAAAATTTATCACCACTATATCCTGTCTGATATAACTGGACCTTGCCATCCGTTTATCTACTTAGACCACAAAGATCTGGATAAATCTGACTTAGCAAAATATATCGGAAATCACAAAAATATTGTGAGTCACAGTTGTATGTTCTCGACTAATAGAGGTTATTGAGCTTATAATCTATTTCAGTAATTTTAACAATTCATTACGCACGTGGAAACATCATAGTAAAGGTATTGAAGAAAATTAAGATTTTCACATATTAATTACTAATGTCATTTGACTTGCTACTGCAAACAAAATAAGTAATGGATGGAATGAATACAATTATTTAATAAAAAAATCAGAAACAAATTCATAATTTTTTTGTATTTAAGAAAGTGTACAGTACATTTTCCGTTGTTTAATATCCAATAAGTATGGGTAGAAGAGGAAATTAAAAATACAAAAGATTTCAAACTGAAAATAAACCAAGGATATCTATGTATTATTAAAACGTGAGTACGACAAATCCAACTGACTAATCAGCTTAGCGCTTGACCGAGCCCCACTGGTGACATATTGTCTGATATTCGTCTAGTCACAGTATAGTTGAAAATAGTCATTGCGTTTCCAGTTAAAATCCAGATGGTAAAGGTTAAGAGCAGTAGTGGTTTTTTTGTAGGAATTTATGGAGTTTTATTTACCTTATCATATAAACTATTAGAACAGTACGATAAATTAGTTTAGATTCTAATGTTTTTTTTTAGTTCGTGATTATTAGCCAGTGTTTGAATGAAATATTCCACTAAAAAACAGAATTTAGTATTTTACAAAAGATGGCGTTTATCTGCAAGATCAAAGAATGTGACTCAGTTTACCTGGCTCTTTATCAAATGACACACGACTTTATCGAGTCCATACTTCTTAATATATAGGGCGTTTTTTAAATCTTATTTTCGTTGGCAGTATGTCTTATCCTTGCCTATTTATGGCACAATGCATTTCGGTTCGAAGAGTTAGAGCAGCGTTCACATTAATGCATATGAGAATTCATCATGTTTTAACTGGGCGATGGTTATTGGCTCCAGTAACAGTTTAATTAGGTCAAAAATGGGTTACTAAAAAAATCTACTTTTCCACACAAATAGCCAGACACGATCTTCAACATCACCGACACTGATCTAACAAATAAAATGAACTAACTGCGTTATATTCGAACGCAGTTCTGTCTTTCCTAATGATAAAATGTGACGAATGGATAGCTTTAGGCAGCCATACTCGATGGATCATTTGGGGTGAGACCTTCCATTAATATGCTAAGGACGTTTCTTTGTTTGTGGACCACGAAGACTTAATTAACTGTCATTGATTTGTTCCTGTATAATTTTTGATATATTATATGAGTACATTTTTGTATGTACGATGATGGGGTCAGTTTAATTTCCTGTTTTAATGCTGTAGACGTGTAGACGAACTCAGGTCTTGCACGTTATTAACTGTTTTCACGACCCATTTTTTTTTTATTGAATACTAGCTGACTCGGCAAACTTCTTAGTCCCTCAATCGATAAATAAAAGACCTAAACTATTGTATAAAACAGACTTTAAGCAAACAAAAGGAATCCGTCCGACGGAGGCCACAAAGGGAAACAAAATTATTATTTTTATGTATTTCCGAGCATTTTCAAGTTTATCTACCTTTTAAACCTTCTCTGGACTTCCACAAATAATTCAAGACCAAAATTAGCCAAATCGGTCCAGCCGCTCTCGAGTTTTAGCGAGACTAACGAACAGCAATTCATTTTTATATATGGAGATTGCCACACATTTGGAGTCGAAAATTCTATTGTATTAGAAAAAGATTATACCAACGCCCTATAACTCTACAGCAGATATAGGACCCACACTTGTCTACTTCTAACATCAATTCAGTTGGGAATTCGGGAGAAAGTTAAGTCGGAAAATAATGGGACGATTTACATAATATGATATTTCGGTTCACGATTAGTTGCTGAATCTCCAGGAAATACAAGGGATTCCATAAATGCTCTAATTAATAGTCCGATATAGGACTTAAATCCGATTTTACAAAATCGCACTAATTCATTGAGCACATGAACTTGCTACAACAACAACAACTCTCTCTCTTCTCCTGAGTCAGTCTCTTCATTGCTGAAGGTTGTGTTTAATTTCAAGGGTTGACCACTCGATACACAATGCTTCTCCACGTCTTCCTTTCCTCGGCGGTCTTTATAGCCTCGATTATTGGCAGGCCGGTGAGCGTCTTTACTGGATCAGACCAGCGGGTAGGTGAGCGTCTGTGAGAGGCTGTTTCTATGATATAATACGAATCACCAATTCCGATCATTTGAATCAACCAATAAAAGTACAATAAAACATAGTGTACGTGGATATGTAAAGTCATATGATGATATAGTGTAACTACATATGTACCTACTATCTATTAACTACTAACTATTTATTTATATTACGTTCTAGTCGTTAATATGAACTTTTAGCGTAGTAAAAGTAATAGATATTTTTTCTTTAATTTTTCACCCAGACTACCATTTTTCTATCAAAGTCTAAGTGGCCATTCACTTACTAAATATGATTACTAAATTCACACTAACTTGTACCTATTGTTTGTAAACTTCAGCTTTACGGGGGATGGAAGCTTATTAACCGTTCACTTAGTATTTGTCGTGATTTGTAGTACACAATAAAGCTATCAAACATCTCCAATCTCTGCTTTAACCCTATTCTAGATTACTTAAAGTAATGTCATTATCGGTCAATAAGCCGATGCCTTTAAGCTCTGAGTGATCAGAATTGAATAAAGGCTGTCTTACACAGAGAGATTCTCGAATGCCATCGGTGAGCTCATAAACGATTATGCCATGTACCTACGATATTTTTCTTTACGATTTAGGTTAGGGTCGTATGATTTTATGACCTCTACTTAAAGTCACAAATAACATAACATAAATTCCACGATATTCCAGCTGGACTTATTTTAATGTCAGAATAAAGAACAGAACATATGCTAACTTTGCAATAAGCCATACAGCCAGTACTTTAGGTATGGACCAAAGAGGTAAAGGGTCAGATTTTTTATTAATTCTTAGATGGGTGGATTAGCTCACACCCCACCTAGTGTTAAGTGGTTACTGGAGGCCATAGACATCTACAACGTAAATGCGCCACCCACCTTGAGATATAAGTTCTAAGATCTCAGTATAGTTACAACGGCTGCCCTATACCCTTCGAACCGAAACGCATTACTTCTTCACGGCAGAAACAGAAAGGGCGGTAGTACCTACCCGCGCGGACTCACAAGAGGTCCTACCACCAGTACATTGTGGCATCAACTTTGCAGATAATTTACCAAACGGTAGCTGCGGACTAATTGTAGGAGATTAGTAAAATTAGTCTTTAGAGATTCAAAAATTTAAGCCATATAATGAAGGTAGTTTCTTTTTTTCATCAGCTACGCAACAATGAATCACCCTCGATCCATAGCAATGCTCGCTGCGCTGTGGCTGGTGGTTAGTGTCACTTCCACTCCTGTCCGCCGTTCGCCTGACCTTGAAGCTCGTCGTCGCAGTGCCATCGACCGCAGCATGATCAGGTAATCTATATGTAACACTCTAAGAAACAACGCAGGGTCCGACGTTTGGAGATCGAGCATTGAAGGTTCTTCGGTTTATGAATTTTAAAGGGATGATTAATGTTTTTTTTGGAATTAATTTTCTTATGGGACGATGCAGTACCCTAACCGGGAAAAAACGTCCGTAACGTAAGATATTTATTAGTAACGCACACAGTGTACAATATAACTTTGTAATAACGTATAAAAAATAACATATTTTTTTAACATTTATTGACCACGATCTCAGAGCGTTCGTTTGCGCAATACACTAACTCTTATGCAAACAACCGTGAATGAAGTGTATGACAATAAATTCGCACGTTACCGCATGACCGTGGGTTGTTGCGAAACCTCCAGTTTTATTTTCTTTATACCTCGAATAGAACTTTAAATTAATATTTTTATAATAACGAACTTCGTTCCTATCCGGTGTCCCACGACACCACACATCTTTTTTTTTGTTTTTTTATTGCGTTAATGGGTGAACTAGATTACGGCCCAACTGCTATAAAGTGGTTACCCTTAGACATAGCAACCTGAGTGTCGCCAACCCCCCTTTCACATACGGCCTGCTTAGTACTCATGACCCTTTTTTTTGTAAAAGATTCGGAAGATCAACTCTGCCCGTCGTACCTCCAGCGCAGCCCAGCTTTCTGCAAAGATACAGCGCGTCTCAGCCAGCGGCCCTTACTGCAGATGACCTTATGACCTTCCTCCGAGCCTACGAAGAAGACTACAGCAGTCCCGTGTCCAAAAAGTCGGCTAGTTTCGTGCGATTTGGTCGCGACCCTAGCTTTATCCGGTTCGGCAGGTCAGTCGATGAAGAAAACTCTGGTTATCAAGCTGAAACCAACACTTACCCCCAACGGAGACACAGAGCTCGCAATCACTTCATCAGGCTCGGAAGGGACAACGAGTTCAGCGAATCCAACGACGAAGACAGATATGAAGTCGAAAGCGAAAGAACGAAAAGATCCGTTGTTGACCCTTGCAATGATTGCGCTTAAAATTTTATCCGACAGAACCAATTAAAAGTTAGCATGTCATATGTTTCTATTACATTATTACTAAATGTGAAGTATGTAGAAACAAAGAAACTTCTGGTAGATAGATAAATCCTAAAACTATGTTAGGAGTTGTGTACCTATTGATGATTTAAAATGTATTCAAGAACTCAGTATTAATTTTAATATAAGACAATTAATTTTTACCTTTATAACTAGATGATTTTCATCATGAAGCAGAACATGCTTAAAACTCACCGAAAACGTTTGTTTAGGATTTTATTAAGGTTTTTTTGCTGAATAAACATAATTCGTTATGTCTAAATAATTACTATAAATTCTTATATAACTTCACTTTCATTTAAATGTCGCTGTTAATTTCTCTAGTGTCAGCATCTCAAGTCGAAGGCTGGGTTCCAAGAGGACTTAAGACGCTTATACTATGTTTAATAATATAATAATTAAAGATTATACTTAAAATATGTATATTTATAAAATCTCGATATTATAAGATGTAGTGTGTACGAATTGTTAAAAGATCACTGAATAAAGAGCATTTATTGTGTAAAAGACACTATTTATTTGGGTATGAAAATAAAATTTATTTTCCAGAACTGAATTGGCGTCATTTACTATACGAGAATATACAAACATAAATATAATTAAAAAATGTGGTAGTAAACCTATAAGATTCCCATAACCCAATCTGTATGCTGCTAAGCATTTTTTTTAAAGAGTTCTGTTTTGATGAGTAAGATTGTAATTATTTCAGTAAAAGCTTTTTTAGCACTGGTGATTGAACACTTGATAAAACGCAAAAGCGACACTAAAAAGAGATTTTTCTAATGAAATACGTACTCAACAAATATTAACGATTGACTTCCACGGTGAAGGAATAACATCGTGTAATAAAAATCAAACCCGCAAAATTATAATTGGCGTAATTACTGGTGGTAGGACCTCTTGGGAGTCCACACGGGTAGGTACTACCACCCCGCCTATTTCCGCCGTGAAGCAGTAATGCGTTTCGGTTCGAAGGGTGGGGTAGCCGTTGTAACTATACTTGAGACCTTAGAACTTATATCTCGAGGTGGGTGGCGCATTTACGTTGTAGATGTCTATGGGTTCCAGTAACTACTTAACATCAGGTGGGCTGTGAGCTCGTCCATCCATCTAAGCAATAAAAAAAAACATACTTGTACATGCGTGCCATTACAGGAACTCAACACTCAGTATGCCTATTTCTCATGTCAGTAGGTACTAATCATGTTCACAAAACGCCTTATCTTCAGTCCTCACGATAAGAGCCGGAACGAGGCTTCTGTGAAAGTAATCTATGACAATCTATTACTTAGAATAACAAAAAAAAAAAAGTTTTATTCGAGTGGAGATCTGAACTACGCTACTTACCATTTTAAACTGCTATTAATTTCAATTGGTCTACCAGGACATTAGAAATTTCGTCTTTTTTTATACTTTTCTCTAGAAACTTGCGATCGTCAAACTTATCCGAATCTGGATTGCTTTGATTTCGAACAAACCAATCATTCTCAGGCAAGGCAGAAAAAGTACTCCAGTCAACGAAGCCAAGCCATTTTTATAGGTAACGAATAAAGAGAACATAAATAGATTATTTTGTCGCGTTCAATATTTTTTAGATTAAATCGGAATACAATTTTTACAAATGCATAGGCTTGCAGAACTGATTAAAATAAATACTCAAAAATATATATAAAGATTCAAAATCAAAAAAGCATGCCGTGTCTGGACTTCAGACGTAGTTCAACGTTTGACGGATTCTGCGCGCGACTATTTGTTAATGAAAAAGTATACGGTCCTTATGACACTAAAACTACTTACTAAATGTCTTCAAACATCAAAAAACTTTATGATTATTAACTAATTCTTCACGCAAAAATTAGACTAATTGAGTTAAATGAGGTGCGAATAATTTATCGTTTAAATTTTCCCTCACTTAATTTATGCCCATTAGGATAAGTAATTAAACTTTTAAAAGTTTGAAACTATTAGACTCGGGCTTACCTTGAAATTCAAAAGCTTTTTCAGTGACTTTGGATTTGATAAATGTAAAACATAGAAATAAAAGCTTAATTCTAAAACTGATATGAACGGGATCATAAAATTATTATTGCAATTTATCTCCTTACCACCGTTATTAATATTTAAAAAAATCATAAAATATATTAAGTAAGTTAAAAATCCAATTATATTTATTTAAAAAAGTACTGCCACATCACAAACATTTATAACATTGAAAATAACTTAAACTATTTAATTTATGGCCTGATGCATGTGACAATAATGGCGTACATAACATTGGCAATTCATCGGCCCGAAGATGGAATACAATAATAAAAATAAAAAGAATACCTAATGAAAAAATACTTTGAAATTCAAATTTAACAAGTAAAACAGTAACAATTGTTGAAATACACTTGAAATATTAATATGAATGTCTAATAAGTGTCATGTCATATCAAAAAGAAAAGAAGAAATGTCAATATAATTATTATTTATTTATCGTATGGCATTCGTTTACACTGCGTGGTTATAATTGAAATTTACAGTTTGTGATTAGGGTTTTATAATTGACGCAGTGTAGTTGGAACCGGGAGATCCTCAGGAGGACAGTTCGGTTGCCAGGTTGTTGCACTATTAGCACCACCCAGGGGTCACGTGTAGGGTAGCGGTGGGTAATCTCCTACGGACGTTATGCAACTTCGACCCCATATAATATCAAGCAACAACTAGTCAGTTATAAAACAACAAATGATTATCAATTAAAGTTAAGGTGCGTTTTTTCTTTCTTTTTTTAATTTTGTTCTTAAATACACGCAATGATGTTTATGATTATCTTTCACAAATTAATAGCTGCGCAAATCTTTCGAAGGATCACTTTAAAATAATTGAACGTCCAGCTTTGGCGTTAAATAACAATTAAGGCAAACGCTTGCCCAAATTTACTTCATGCTAGAATCTGTGAAATCGTAACTGATTCCACAAATTCTTTGTAGATTCTATTCGTTTTATAAAGTTTCAGGAATTTACAGAAGAAAACCTAATTAATTATGAAGTCAAATAATTTGGTATAAAGTTAAATATAACGTGGCATTACGAACTTAAGTTACTGTTTTATTGCGAAATACGCTCTTTAAAGTTATATGTATTTTCTCTGAAATTCGTGGTATGTTTACACTAAAAGAACTAGTTGCCTAGCTGTTGAAATATTGGCTTAAGAAAATCGTCTTACGTTGGTTTTTAGTTCGAGAAACATAATTAAAGCAATTATCAAACTACTTAAGCATTATTCAACACAAAATTACTTTGGTTATTTTGGTCAAATTGCCTTATTCACAATTTCACAAGATGGAATAAAGAAAACCGGTACCTCAGATCACAGTATTGCAGATTTAATGACTAAATGTAATGTGTGCTTAGTGCGAGATTTTTAACGTTTGGATAGAATAAAAGTTTACTCAAATTTGTATGGAGTTGGTCTGCGCTTGCGCTCCTTCGAGGCATTGTCAGAGTTCGACTCAGACCATCGATCTGTCGTTATGTAGATTGGTCGCCCCCACAACCCAGACCCAGTCATGAAGACCATGGTGGATTGGAAGAAGCCGAGCACCAGTTTAGCTGAAACCACTCCACCAATCCTCCCCTATGGCCCGGATTCAAATCTATCCCCCGAGGACACCGTCGAATCCATATACATCCTAAAAGAACACATATCTTCCGCGATCATAAGATCTTCCAAAGAAGTCGATGTGGATGACTGCTTCCACCGTATCAGACTCTTCCCCGAGCTTAGTAATCTCTTAAGAGTTAGAAACGCGGCAATCCGAGCCTACGGTCGATATCCCACGGAATCAAACCAGATTTGGGTGCGTCGTCTGCAGCGGGAAGTCAAATCCCGCCTAAACGACGCCCGAAATGAGAAACGGGATAGTTATTTAGAAGAACACGCGCCCACTTATCAAGCATACTGGCGACTGGCTAGGACCCTCAAGTCCGAAACTATCGTTACTCCCCTTCCGTCGTATCCCCACGAGTTGTATGATATTTACAAAGTTAATAATAACAAACAAAAAAAAGTTGGACGCCTACGATGGGCAGGACATGTAGTTTTAATAGAGGATACCGGAATGCCAAGATAACTACTATATGGCATACCAAAGGGCCGCAGAAGTCGTGGAAGGCCCAAACTCGGATGGTTAAATGGCGTAGAACACGACCCCAAAGTTATCGGTGTCAAGAACTGGAAGGAGAAAGTCCTGAACAGAGAGAGCAGTCTGGAGAGACATACTGGACCAGGCTAAGGTCCATCCTGGGCTGTAAAGCCTAAGATTATAATGAGTCAGTCAACACTTGTACACTTTTATTCGGGTTCAGTTTCAATACTGCCTTGCATTGATATTCCCGGTCAAAAACGATAGACAGAAAGAGACCAAAAACGCTGAGTGCTAAAAACTTAATTGACATCAAAATTATATTAACCATTAAATTCAGATGTTATTTTAAAAATTAAAGTTTAGTATTATTTCTTAGCAACAAATTCGTTTTATCGAGGTGTAGCTTCACATGACAGCATTTGGCCGTGATCCGGCCGAGTAGCGGCGTTACGAGTATCTTATCCGGTTTAATTGGTCATTTGCTCGAATAAGGATCGAGTTACACCGCCATTAACAGGTTAACAACCGAATACCGTGCACCGGATACTCTGAGCTTCGTTGTTGAAGCCGGGCTTTTGTTTTTTTAACGCGTTTTCCATTTTAGAATAACGTTTTCATCTCATTTTGGCACACGTAAATTAAGTTTTGTGTGGTCAATGGGGTCGTACGTGCAGTTACCATAATCCCGCCTATTTCTGCCACGAAGCATTCAATGGTTCTTACTTGAAGGGTGGGATAGCTGATGTACAAGAGAATTCAGATGTAATCTCGCCAAGTGGTTATTGACATTCACGTTGTCTATGAGTTGCGATACTCGTGGGCCG